TCCCCCCTTCCCCTTTGTTTGATCTACACGGCATCCCGGAACACTCCGATAGCAGGGCGAGCCTGTCCGCACGTGGAAAAGAAGTGCTGCACGCACACACGCACGCATGTCTTTTTGGGTCGTCACGACTCCTCACGTCTAGTCGTGTCAGTGAAATCACCGACAGGAAATATAGAGGAGGGCTCGACTTTTTTCGCGGCCCACTTCAGTTATGCGTGGCTGTATATTGTCAGCCTAAGAGTTTTACTTGCAACACCAGTAGGTCATATTGAAGTGCCGAAGATTCGGGGTGGTACAGGAGAGTAACAGTTTGTGTGTATCAAAGAGAGAGAGAGATTCGGGGTGGTACAGGAGACTGACAGTTTGTGTGTATCAAAGAGAGAGAGAGATTCGGGGTGGTACAGGAGAGTAACAGTTTGTGTGTATCAAAGATTCGGGGTGGTACAGGAGAGTAACAGTTTGTGTGTATCAAAGATTCGGGGTGGTACAGGAGAGTGGCATACGAGGAAAAAGTGGAGAGATAAGGATGATAGATGTTCTCCAGGACAGAAGGAGGAAACCACACCAGAACCTTATGGCAGGTGCTATTTTGCTGTTTTGAGCCACGTATGGTTTGAGGGTGTTTTGCTGTTTTGAGCCACGTATGGTTTTAGTTTGCAGTTTCTGGGACACCTGAGTAGTCATAAAAACACTTAGACCATCTAGCTCTCACAGGTAAAATTGAGGGCAAACGAGGCAGGGGTAGTAGACCCAGAGCGACCTACTTGAAGAGCCTCAACAGTTGGGTGATGGGGCAAGATCAGGACAATGTGGCTTTTTTTTTAGAGCATTCGAGCAAATGGACAGTGGTGAAGCGGGTAGTGCGCCCGTCTCCGAAGTGGAAAGTCCGCGTTCGAGCCTCGTTTCGGACGCAGATTATTATTTTTTTCGCCCCCTCCTGCCACCCAGCAGTAATGGGTACCTGACTTCGAGTTGGGGGAGTAAAGGTGGCGTGGAAAGGAACTGGCTACCCTACCACAATATGCTGAAGGCCCAGGAAGTTGTCTCACTAACAAGGCAATCCCCAATGTCCGGATAGGGTGCAGGAACAACTTTTAACTTTTTATTTGAGCAAAGGAATGAATAGAGAACTACGACCGCCGATGTCTGTTACAGATTAGGCCGTTGATGATGATGATGATTTTTGGATGTTTCGCTGTGTTGATCCCTGTATGGTTTTAGGATATTTGGCTGTGTATAACCACGTAATGTTTTAAGATGTTTCACTGTGTTGAACCACGAATGGTTTTAGGATGTTTGGCTGTGTTGAACCACATATGGTCAAAGATAGTACATAACAAGATGGTCCACTCAGCCAAAAAAGTGTCCGCCGGAAGTCCGCTCTTTGCTTCAGATGGCGCTG